CAATTGCTAGAATTCAAGCAACATGTACACTAGTTACATATTATTGCACTTACGATTTATTTGATCCGTTTATTTACGTGAGTCACAACGTTTTTAATCTTACTTGGTTTTGGATTTGATTACAAAACGTGATCGGAAATGGTTGCAGTATTTGTAAACAAAATGTATTAACAAATTTCCAGTGACAGCTAGAGAAAATCATCTTTATCCAGCTTTTCATCTTTCACAGCTGTTCGTTATTTCATTGATGTCGTATTCTCCAAACAAATTATTAGTATTTCACAAATTACTGGTAAACATTAGGAGTAGCCTAAACTTGACAAAAATGCAAAAAATTGGGGGTTTGAACAAAATGTATTTTAATTCAAAAGTAGTGAGGCCATATTTTAATGGCTTAAGTTACTCGTGTCAATCCACCGAATCCAAAAAGACTATTTAAATCGAATCACGATCGATGCTCTAGTTTTTGAGAAGAAGGCCACGTAAAATGCCTTCTGGGCCTTGACAGACAAGACAGAAATTGAGATAAAGACTTGTTTTGGCTTCTTTAATGTATGAAACGTAAAAATGACCAAAAAATATATAATTTTAAGCAATGTTCATACTAAACTCTAATTTAATTAAAATAAATTCGTAAAACCAAAAGAACCATGAGGTAAAAATACCTTCCCTATCCCGAAATATCCAATTTTATTCTTTTACATTATTCTCCGTTATTTCACAACCAGCATTGACAACCAGAACCAATCATAAAATATGTTTATGTTTTATTTTTTACGATTAATTATTTGTGTAAACAACTAGACTTTTTAGCCAATGAAAAACTCCGGATAGTGTCTACGACATAGGGATTATGCTATTTCGTATTACTAGGAGGTAATTGATAGTGACAAAATTATTAATTCATTAATCAACCTGTGGCAGGCTTTTTATCAACATTTAATTGCATTTTTACCACTAGTAATCAGAAAATAACCTCCTTTAGTGATATGTTTTAAATTTCACGATCTGCGCTCGTGCATGTGCCGTTAGCTATGAGTGTATGTGAAAATTGGTTTACAATTTAAATCACTGTCTGAAAATAAATCAAATGCTTATGGGTTAAACTTTTGGAGCCCTTTATCAAAATATCCTTTTTAATTACCATTTGCGTTGCACTGAATCTTAAGCTTAAAAATGACACCTAAATCAGTTACAGCTTAATGAATTGGGAAGATAGATGACATTAAACAAGACAACGACATATCACATGCTTAATACTAGATATTAGAGGGTAATTATCAAACGAAGAGCCATTGATTATTTTTATAAACCATTACTAAAATCAACTACAACAATGAATATTGGCCGATACGTAGTGTAGCACGGGGGTAGATTTCCGGGGGTCGGAAATAAATAATTCCGGGGTCGGACATTTATGATTTGACCACTGGGGGTACATTTCTGGGGGTCGATTTCCGGGGGTAGATATCCGGGGGTAGATGTCTGGGGGTAAATGTCCGGGGGTAGATGTCCGGGGGTAGATGTACGGGGGTAGATGTCTGGGGGTAGATTTCCGGGGGTAGATGTCTGGGGGTAAATGTCCGGGGGTAGATGTCCGGGGGTGTATGTCTGGGGGTAGATTTCCGGGGGTAAAGTTCCGGTGTCAGGTTTATTCGCATTTTGATTAATTACAACTGTTAAGTAAACCGTGAAATGCGAGTTGATTGAATATATCATAATTTATCCATCCTAAAAGTTCGCGGCCGGAAATTTACCCCCATACATGTGACGTCAAAGAGACGTAGGCGTTTTTTCATGGGGGTAAATATCCGGGGGTAGAAATCCGGCGACCCTATGTAATTAGTCTTGTCACAGTATTCAAAGACATTGTGAAAGAAATTGACACTTTCGCCAAGTATGAATCGTGTTTTAGGTTACTATAGGCTAGGTTGGTGGTAAACCTCTTTTGATCAATTTTGCCAGTTATAGATTGTATGCAGAAAAGTGCTTTAGTAGAAAATGTGCATAAGTGGCTCAGCAGGAACGCAGGGGACTTGTAGAAGGTCGTAGACATCTGCTCAAGGGGGTATCAGCAGGTATTCATCAGTTTCCATTCAAACAGTGACTGAATTTGAGAGAACTTTGATAGTCTTAAAGAGATGTTCCCTGTTAAATCGAAAATCACACACCATGATCTGGATTTACAATTCAGAGTAATGAGTTTTCAAGTTAGGTCGGGCATCATAGATTTTGGGCCCGAGGCAGCAATGTCGAGGGTTCGGATCATGGTCACTGCCATAAACATTTGATCAGTTCCTACTCTACCGGCTTACCTCTTGCTTTGCTGAATACGTTATACAACGGGCAAATAGTCTATGTGGACGGGCAAAATCAAGGCTTCCAACCTCTTAAAAAAAAATCCTCTTATTTTGGTCGCCACTTTAAATGAGACGAATGAATGACAGAAGTTGGCCTACACCATGAAAATACTGTACACACTTTTAAAACTACCTCTGTACTCCCTCCACCTCATGCACACATTTCCTACCTCCAACTACTTTACTCCATTCAAGTCCATCAGCTGGCGATGGACTTTAATAGCGGTTGATGACTGAGGCCACAGGAAAATAATCATAGAATGAGAATGTGATTTATATTTGGTGGGGGCGTAAATTCTTTTTCACCACATTTTTGAATACTTTGACGAGATGACCATCTAGTACCGTAGTGGATGAAGGATCACAATGTTGGTATTGCATTTGAACGAGCTAGCTTGACTGTGATGGTGTGATGTAGTCTTTGTATGACCAACCCTTGTACATTATTTCAAGGATTTATTATTGATGCATTAATCTGACTAAAACCATGATTAATTTTTTATTTAGTTTTTATATTACCCTGTGGGTGCCCATGGTGTTGACAGAATATTCAGGCAGTCTACAGTGGCGGATTATCCATTAGGCACAATAGGTAACTGCCTAGGGGCCGCAGGTCTCAGGGCCCATGTAGCACAGATGGTTGGGCCAACGTTGGTAAATTGTGGAGCCACACAGTTGGCCAACGGTAGAAATGTCACCTCTTTAAACTGTTTTCCAGCCAACCTTTGTCCAACAATGGACCAACCAAAATTATTTCACACAAAATAATAAAGATTTAGTACGAAAAGCATAATTATTAGTTGAGTAAATTGATTAAATAGTTCATAAAAACAAATTTTGAAAAAAAGCTGGAACAAAATTTATTGGCCCAGACGGGTCTCGAACCCGGGTCCTTCGACTTATGAGCCTCTTACCTTACCACTGAGCTATCTGTGATTGTTGATACAGAGAGTTTTCAAGTGGTGAAAGAGTACCCGACAGTTGCAATGGTCGCAATACTTCAAACTTTTGATACTACACAGTATAATATATGATTCTGTTAATCTGTTAAGGCATCATAAGTAGTTATTTTTTTTTTGGAGTTAGAGAGGATACTGGTATTTGAATATAGATTAATTAATTACCGTTAGATTCTAATGCTATTATAATTGACTGTTATATGATTAATTACTCTTTCCCCTTAAATTGTTGCAAATAAGTTAAAGAATATTAATTTAAAAAATATTTGAATTATTATAATTATTAAAATTCATTGTTGTAGCCCCGGAACTGTAATATATAAAATATCTGGTTTTACAATACCTTTATCAGTTCCAAAAACTTTTGGAAACTTTTGGAACTGATAAAGGTATTGTAAAACCAGATATTTTATTATAATTATGTTGTGAAAGCTAGACCCAGAGAATGAAAGTCGTGTAAACTCAACTATGGACCATCGTTGGTCCAACAAAAGTATCTTTTGTTGGTCCAACGGAGTGAAAAACGGTTGGACAACGGTTGGCTTGATGTATGATACCCAACAATGCATATTAATGTATTTCATTAACAATGAACCGATGTTGGTCCACAGTTGTAAATATTGGTTGGCCCAACTACGAGATATACAGTTGGACAACGGTTGGTTGGTTGTGGAAGCTCCAACCAACCATCGACCAACTGTCCCACAGTTGGCCAACGTTGGCCCAACCATCTGTGCTACATGGGGGGGTTGCAGAAAGAAAAATTTAAAAAATGTTGTAAAAATAGTTTGAAAAAGCTTAAAAAACTAACAAATTTAAAGCCAGTTTCTTAAAATTTCCTAGGGAAGGGCCCCCGAAACCCCCATCCACCTGGGGGTATTCCATATCCCCCCAGATCTCCCGGTAGCTCTTGCCACACCCCAGTTAAAAGTCTGAAATGACGCCCATGGGGGGGTCCAAGTTTACATTTGCCTAGGGGCCGCTGAAGTCATAATCCGCCACTGGCAGTGTAGAACTAGACCCTCTTACCTGGAATAACAGTTGTTGGATTACAACCTCTGACCGGTTAAAAATATAGATGGCACTAAACTTTAAAACATATTGTGAGTTGAACCTTGAACCGATCATTTCAATGAATCTGGAGACTTCCGTTCCCATCCTTAACACTACAATAAAATATAATAATTTACCAAGCAAATCTAGTTATTTAATAACTATCTGATTATTTATTGAGCTCTACTTTTCTAGTACATTGCAAAGCGTGATTGTACACAATTAATCGATTGAATAGTTTGATTGCAAGTGTGTGTGTTTGATGATAAATTCCTAGTATAGTAATGATAATACATAACATTGTCAAAATTCAACTTTGTGTGTTTCTAACAAAGTACCAGTACTGTATTCCTATATTTCAGATTACCGGTAGGTACTATATGGAAAAGGCTGTCTTTCTAATGCTACTGCACAGTTTGTCCTATTAGTTTGACATAGTTAAAATAAGAATGGATTATTTGGTAAGTCATAAATAAGTAATTTACTTCTTTAAATAAACTAAAGTAAATTACTTCTCTTCTAAACTAATTTTGATTCAAAAACTGACGTCTGGGGATAGAATGTCTAGTGCTAGCAATAGTCAAAGATACTTCCTACCTGTCGCTGTTTCCTATTGGAGCGGGGCCCTCTAAGTGCAAGGATGAGCAGTGTTCTCAGGAGGCACACAGCTTGAGGCCCCCGCCGTCCCATTTTGGTCACATTTTCCTGGCAGACTCTCATTTGAATACACCCCCTTCAGTGCTTTTAATTGTCTCCGAATTAGCAAAAGTTCTGCCTCTCTTCTTGCAATGCTTTCTCGGACCAAGACCAAAGCCCTTCTAATCATCAGTCTCTCCTCAGCCAGCCTTTTCAGTTCTTCGTCGATTGCCCATCTCCTCAATGCACTTCTTTTTCTCTGTAAAAAGAACAAATTATGTGATAAGAAATGTGCTTTCCTTGTTTATTCTAATGGTTGCTGAGGAAAAAATTCAATGCAATCAATCACAGATTTACTACTATTTATTTACTACAGTATTAAGTATTTTAAGATTTTTTAGGGTAACCGATACCGAAATGGGGTGAAGTTCACTCTGGCAAAAGAATCCCGAAAATCTTTATACTATGGCCTACACACAAAAAGAACAAGTCAAGTCTTCTCAACTCTTCTTTTGCCACAAATTCTGTCAGTGGCGAAATGACATGGTAACTGGGACTGATAACTTTTTTTCTTTTTGATGTCCCCAGGCACAAAAACACTACAGTTTTCGCTCAAATTCATATATATTTACCGAAGCACAATATTATATTGACACTGACACTGGTCAAATAATGGGGCTGGTAATAACCACAACTCATTGCTTTTTTTCTACCCTGTTACCACAATACTCACACTCACCGTAAAGGTATTTTCAGAACGAGGATTCCCCATCGTTAAAATATATGTCAAACAACACAAATAAAGTTATAGGAACACAAGTATAAATAATAGGTACTCAATGATTATGCAATCCTGTTTATTAGATATGGTTTTCAATTACGTTTGCCCTCTATTGTCGCCAATTTGTTAGGTTATGTTTGCGAGCGTGTGCTATGACAACAAACCGCCGGTACACATGGTCTCGACTATGGTCGTCTGCTGCTGCTCCCGCCACTTGAGATGACCTTGTGTCGCTAACCCTCGCGAACGCGAGTCCCCCTATTTCACCCCCTCAGCAAAACGGACGTCACAAACTAGGGGGTAAAATTCCGAGCGCCAACTTTTGCGTTGCCCAACATGATTTGACTGAATTAAAGGAAGAATTAAACGTATCTTTTCACGGTAGTGAATTTATTCATAACGATTTAAATTATAAAACCTAGAGTATACGGGCCGGAATTTCACCCCCAGACGTTTACCCCCTTCGTGAGTTTGGCTCCAAATGTTGCCCGGATTTCCCCGGAATCTTTCCCCCTGTCCAGATATAGAATTTGGTGAGAATAATATTACTTGTACATAAATGGTCTGTTGTATAAAGACGTATAATCAGAGCTAACTATTATTTATCGCTATATTAACTGCCGAAATGTGTTTCTCTCAAAAATATTATTATTAGAAACAAATTATTATCCTAGCCAATTCTGGCCAGGGGTGAAGTTCCGGGGAAAAGATTCCGGGCGGAAAAATCCGGGGGGAAATCCTTAAAGCCGTACATCTTCAGTTGCCTAAACCATAGGTATATGAACAGGTGGTAAAATTCCGGTTTTTATTGCTAATCTAATCCATCATGCTCTGTTTATTTTTATTAGACTCCACAATCCGAGAGGGTAAAATTCTGACCGCGAACAAACTTGAGAGCACTCAGATCACTAAGTTAGAGTACCGTCAGCTCCAAAAATTCCAGGGAGATAAAATCCCTGCGACCCGTTGCTGCGCCCCGTGACTAAACCATAAGGGTTGAAGACCAAAATGTATACGTCTGTTCGTAAACAAGATGTCGATGCTGGCGATGGCGGGAGCAGTTATTTCTCCATACTATTTGCAGGCAGAAACGACTCCAATGTAAAATGAAAATCCAAATGTGCATGTTTGCCCGTTGTACTGTATGTGAAAAGGATATGTCTTCCTCGTATACTCTGCGGGCTGCGGCGCGTTGCGACTTGCGGCTTGGTAAATGCATTGGGCTTTATAAATGAGAGCATATTTATACCAAGTGACGCCAACGACGGCGCACCTATAAGCTGCAGAAAAGTGCAGCCTCGAAGTGTATTGTGTTATACTGTATAGTATATGGAAGCTTTTTAAAGGACTCCGCATCGAGTCAAGTGCTGGAAACATGATCACAATAAAACCCTACCCAACACGTATATGGTTTATTGATAGTTAAGTTTTGAAGCATGGGAATGGTAGTCGATCCATTAAATATTTCATACCGTATCTAATACACTCTAAACTAATTTATTTAACTATCTTATACTTATACATACATATTAATATTATTTATTACAATTACTAAATGACCGAATTTATTATGCTGATTTTCAGTGATTTTAGAGCTACATAATTAATATTTCGATAAACAAGTGGTAAGTTAATTTAGATGATAGGCTTTCACGGTCACAGAGATTGTAAAATCTAGGTCTTTGGGTGATAACCGCGTCGTTGAAAGAGGGCATCGTGCACGATGCAAGCGGCGAACGGAAACCTGAGCGGCACGGCGGCGGTGGTGGCTACGATACAAGCGGCGCATTTAACGCTCATCGAATTTCCCTCGTTGTAGGAGACAGTTTAGTCGAAGATGGCAATCTGTGATGGCCCGTAAGACGTATTTCAACTATTGTTGTTATCTGACGATTCTCTTTTTTAAGACAAACTTAACTCCCACTTCGTCCCATAGTTTTCTGGTGACTTGTGTTTGTAAAACTAGTGCTGGTCATTCCACAAACATTCTGAACTGCTACTCACTTATTAACACTTATAATTGAGAATCACTCAACTCCACCTCTGTCTTCTTGAGTTTGGCTGGAGGCTCGCATGTTTGCTGCTGTTCCTCTGACATTTTTGGCTGAACTGATACATGACTACCCTGAGCGGCGAGCGGTGTTTTTGCGAAAATCGGTTTGGTCTTGGAACCATGAGTAGCGCTGAGCGGCGTCGCTTACCACAGCTCGCCGCTCAGACGTAAGGCCGGTTTCACACGAGCCACAAACGTGCCACAATCGTCGGCAGAAACGCGCCACTTGCAGCGCTCAATCGCGTGGGACCTTTCAGACGGCAAAAGCATGATTCCGCGATTTCCATCAGTTTATCGCCATTTCATACCGCACCTCCCTGAAATAAACCAAAACACCAGTCCGCTTGGAAAAACTACGAGTGCAGTTCAGTGCTACAATGGACGATGAAGAAGATTTATTTTTTATAATGCTTCTTCGTGCGGTACGACGTCATAGAGTAATTATTTGAGTAATCTTTACATTCTTGTACCCACAACACTGGCCTACACCCTACTTTTACGATAAAACAGTCTGTGTCAAAGTCAGATATAACTTAATGTGAAATAAAAATTCGAAACAATACAGGGTGACTGGTTGTTTTGACTGTCTGAGTGGCAATAACCAGCTACAAACGCCAAAATTGTCGAGAACAGAGCCACTGCATGCGATTGCAGCGCGTTCTAGCGCCAAACGCGAAAAGACGCCACTTCGTGTGAAAGGCACGCCGCGTTCCTATGTTAAGTGAATGGGGCTATCCTTTTTTGCGTCAGCCAGCGATTCTCGCGCCACAAGCGCGCCACAACTGTCAGAAGCAGCGTTTCGCGATTGTCGGGCGTTTTGTGGCTCGTGTGAAACCGGCCTAACGCTTGCCACCTTCGAAAAATGCCGCTCATGCCGCTCGCCGCTCGTATCGTACCCGGTGTCCGGTGTAGTGGGAAACGACACTCTGCCAACGCTGCTTCCTATTGTTTGTTGTGGAGGGTAGGTTTCCTAGGGAGCAGGTACCTATCACATCAGCTTGCGCTTTACCCAATAAACCCAGGAATCGCCCAGAATTATTCGTGGGGTGGGAGACAAGGTCGTTGATGCAGGAAGCATGGGCAATAACATTGGAGCCTTCTACGAAATAAAAAATACTTTTACTAGAAAACTACTATAATCTTAAGCATTTACGGCTCAGAAGTTGACAAGGGATAGTGAATATCCGCCCTTAATAAGCCTCGTTTTATTTCAAGATTCAAAAATATGCAAATACCTTAAACAAATTAAGTTAGGTTTTATGCTTACTTCAATACGACATTTGATAGTGATTTTCTAAGTAAAAAACTTATGTTAATAAACTAATTGTACTTGGAGAAGTACAACGTTTTAACCATGCTGCACAACAACGCGCTGGCATTGAAGAGAGGAGCCTTTAAAAATACCATAACAGTTATGGAACTTAATTTTTTATAAAAACACAAGTGAACTACCCTAGGGTAAAATAGTCAGGACTAAAGTCGAGGATATCAACTGTACAGGTTTTTAATAATAATATTCGTCAGTTTATTTTGCCAAATAACATAGATTTATGATTGATTAAAATAAAATTATTTAATATTAATTATTTGTTGGGTTTATCTTTGCTTTGAAGCTTGCTATGTTGCACACCTTTTATAACCCCTTCTCTACTGCCAATCCCTCTTACAACATCTTTTAAAATAACCTATAGGGGATTTTCGGCGAGAACAGACTCAGAGCTATACATGTGCCCTACCGTTTGTTGTGGAGGGTTGGTTTCTCGAGAACCACTGTTTGGCAGACTGTCCTACACTCAAGACTATATATTCATATATTCAATGTTAGTAGAGGGCGACGTTTCCGACGTGTAGCAGCTATCCATCCATCTTTGGGGCAAACTACTTTCAACCCAGTGGTACTATTTAATAAGTGCTAAGGTAATTGTTTATTTTTAGATATTTTACTTGATTAAAAAGTCCCAAACGTCAAAAACTATTCGTTAAAATGTTTATATTTGTGTGTCCATGAACACTATAACTTGTGTGGTCCAACTTTGATGACATGGGCTGGATAAAATTGCATGAGTTCGCGAAACAGCAACATCGTGTAACAGGAATGATATTACACGAGTTTATTTTCCAAAATTCTTTTCAAATATTACCCTTAAACATAAAAATGATCAATTTTCATTAACTCTTTTGTTTGTAGAACAAAACAAAATATAATTTAGTATACTGAACAATTTTTTTTTTCACTCATTAGTTAATCAGAAAAAAACGTACATTTAAAATTGTGTTATTATTACGAAGGGTTAAGTCATTTGTATACTTTTCTTGTTTATGGATACATTATGATCAAATTTATTGATTTCATACTTATCTAATAGCAATTAACCTTTTTCTGTCGCAAACCTAAGAACCCATGAAACTTAAGGTTAGTTTAGTT